ATTTAGATCGTTTTGTTTACTAGATTACTTTTGCCTCAGGGTAGTTTGAGTCCTTGTAAACAAACACACTGAAGGATGTTGGTCATTTATGACGAATAGACCTAACAGAGCTCCACGGGGGGAAACACCTGTGTTTCCTGTATATGCATCTTTTATTTTTATAATGATCTGTCTGCCAACACCATATGTGTGTGAACACATGTATTTGCCAGGTAAAGTGTGGTTTGTGATGTGAGGAAGCCTGCAGCAGCGCACGGCAGGCGTGCTCAGAATGATGATTATGTAAGACAGCTGTGACCAGTGATTTGTGTCCCTGAATGGCAGTGATGAAGCACTCACTGCTGGTAATCATCAGAAAGGAAAAACAAAAACCAATTGGACTAGGCTGACTCCAGAGCATGATTAAAAACTGGATATGGGAGGGTAATGATCGTTTCATTTCTCAATGGAGAAAAAAAAAAACGTGAGTTATCAGAGCTAGTTTATTTTACTTCATTTGAAAGGTCTGCTCATGCACAGACTTTCAGACTTTCTAATGAAGGAGCAGGATAAACAGGAAACGCCTTAAAGCAAGAAAGTTTTAGATTTATATTTTTACTTTGTTGTTTCCTCGTTCTGCCACCTTTAGCAAACTATTAGGGCTGATGGGAAAAAAAGGGGACGAAGCATGAAATTAAAGCGCTCGTGAGCCGTTGGGGGCCGATGCTCGTTGTACCGGCTTGTCACGTGACTCCGGCAGCCAATAAAAACCGTGCGCTGCGACCGCACAGCGTGTCATCTAATATAGAATATATGATTGGTGTCATCTATGTACACACCAACGACCGACAGGCGGTGTCAAGTTACACATACAGGAACCGGAAATTATTTTTATGGGCTTCAAAATAAAAGCGCTAGGAATGCGTTGTAACTTAACCTAATGTTTACAGTTTTATTTCAGGGCTTCAGATTTTACAGACTTTAAATTTGATTATTGGAGGAACTAAGATCCAATTGCAATAAAAGAAGTAAAAGTCCTGCATAAAAATTCAGCTTTAGTAAGAACCTGCAAAAAGATGTCATTTCGATTATTGATTGATTATCAGCAAAAGTATAATCCTATTCTCGGTCAGTTTTTAAATCTTAAATAAGATGATAATTGGGAGCTAAAAACCCTATGTTAAAGCATTGACTAGCATGAAGAAATAAAAGTATACAAAAAGGCATTTTATTGAAGACTTTGTAACATTTAAATTTGTAGAAAGGACACCGAATGAGAGAAACAAACAAACAAACAAAAAACACTGAGGCGATCCACCAGTCCTCTTGATTTGTACAAAGCAGAAAAGTGAAAATGTCCTGGTAATTAATACAACTGTGTTTGCTGGTAACTGCACAAATCTTTATGGAATGTGTAGTGTCACAAAAACATACAGTTTTACACAATTACACAAAAACTTCAAGCTATTTTTTGTCTCTTTAATGCATTTTTTCTTCCTGTTTCAGATATGCATAATTCTTTACTTTCAAGAAAGCACTGAATTCACTAGTGTACAAAATGAATTGAGTTTTACAGAAAGTTATCTTCTGTGCTTGTTTGCACATTTTGCTCTTTAAACTCGTCATGAACCAGAACAATGAACATGTGAGGCAGCATCTCAGAGTCAGAGAGATTTATTTGTCATTTGCGTCTCATGTGGTACATGTGGTGGAACGAGATTATGTACACAGAGTCCCAGGGTCTGTGACCAGCACAAGGTTTACAGTGAGCTGTCCTGAGGACAATGTGGGATTTGTGAGAGGACCTAACACTAACCCCAACATGTGATGTGAAGTGGAAAAGACTGATTCAGGCACTATAGCTAATAAGTAAATAAATACAAAAAAACGTTTATCTTTCTGCTTCAGACTTATAAAAAGTTTTGGATTCAAGAAATTCATTTAATGCCTAATTAATGTCTTTGCTGAAACAATGTGTATTTGTTAGGTCTGTACATGACTGCTTTACAATTCATAATTTATCACTCTGCACTCAGAAATCCATCAGTTTAATTGTCAGATGAGTAAAGTGTAAATCGTATGACCAGTTCAAGTTGTCTATGCAAAGATGCATCACTGATACATCATTTGATCCCTTCATGCTGTTTTTTTTTTTAATATATTTAAATGATAAACTATGTTACAATTAGACACTGTATTTTAGCTCTGGCACCTCTGAGAAATATTATCTGTTAAACATATCATGTAATTCAAATGAAAATAAAAAGAAGTTTGACTGTGGGAAGTTGGGGTGTGCTGGGTGCTGCAGCACCACATGATGGGCGTCAGTTGACATGTCCCCTCCAAAAATAATAAAAATAAATCAAATTTAATTAGGGCAGCACATGTTTGAATTCCACTTTTACTTTGGTATTACTGAATTTGTAAATCTGGTATAAACCAGCACTGTTACTGTATTTCATTCACCCTTTATTTAAACAGGTAGTCTCATTGAGCCACGAGAACTCATTTTCAAGAGAGACCTGTTTAGGGAGCAGATGGGGGTTAAGGGCCTTGCTCATGGGCCCAGAGTGGGGCGAATGAGGGTGGTGGCAGGTATGGGTGCTTCACTTACCCCACCCACATTTTTGATGTTGTCGGTACTGGGGCTTGAACTGGTGATCTTCCGATCACAGGCCCTCCTTCTCTAACCTCTGCGCCACCACTCCCCCATATATATATATATATATATATATATATATATATATATATATATATACATCGCTCAAATACTTACAGCATGGAGGTCCAACTGATGAGAGGACAACTGCGATGGTGCGACCACATCCAGCCAATGGAAGATTTTTCATTCATTCAACCTTTATTTAGACAGGTTAATCCCATTGAGCCTCGAGGACTCAAGAGAGACCTGATTTCAACAAAAATGATGACAACAATGGACAACAGTGACAACAATAGACAGTTATAAAAAGGCGTACAGATAAAAAAAAAAAAAAATAAGATGGCAAAAAAGTACCAAAAACAGCTAAATTATAAGGCAAATGTAGAAAACTAAAAACAGGAACATGTCTGCGTTGGTTTTAGCCAGGAATCCAACAGATTCTTAAAGCCACTTAGAGAGGTCAAGGTCAGAGCTTCAAATCTTTTTGTAAGATATTCCAGGAAACAGGAGCGGAATAGGAGAAGGCCCTTTTGCCAAGTTCAGTCCGCACTGAGGGAACACTGCAGGTAATAATGTCCTGAGAGCGCACGCTGTAGCTGCACTCACACAGAGACATGTAGGAGGAGATGTATGAAGGCAACAGACCAAGAAGTGATTTAAAGATGAAAATGTACCAGTGAGAGAGTCTGCGTGAAGTTAATGATGTCCAGTTAACCAGTGAATACAGGGTGCAGTGATGGGTACAATAATCACAGCCAGTTATGAATCTTAGTGCACCATGATAGACAGCATCCAACATCTGCAGGGTGCTTGTAGGAGCGTTCATGTAAATAATGTCACCATAACCAATGGAGGGAAGGAAGGTCACAGATACAAGGTGTTTCCAAGCATTCAGAGTTAGACAGGATCTGTTTCTGAAAAAAAAACAACCCAGTTTAACTTTCAGTTTCTTTACCAAGTTTTCCACGTGAAGCTTAAAAGAGAGATGCGAGTCGACCAAAATACCCAAATATTTATAGGAATCAACAAACTCAATGGGGAAAATTGTAGACTACCAAAGAGCATATTCTGCTCAGAGCTTTCGAGTGGGAAGCACAACTCTTGCGGGAAGTAATTCGCTATAAGGACATCTTCAAACGTAATCGGACTGCGTGTAGTTTGGCCACCGAAGAGTGGGAGAAGACTGCTCAAAGAAGATCAATTTGACGTACAAAGGTCAAAAAAGGCGTCTCAAACTTTGAAAACTCTCACCTTTCCGAGTTAGACCTCAAACGACAAATTCGCAAGAACTGAGCTAAACCCACCTACAACTACACCTACAACAGTGCGAGCCAGCTATACTGCATGACCTGTGACCGAATATTTAAGACCAAGTTCCCATTTGTCAGCCACATACAAGCACATGCCAGAAGCTAGCCAGGGTCACCATCGTCGGACACGACGCTGACGACATCATCAGTGTTTAGGCCCTAACAAGCGCACATGTGCTCACCCCACCATTGACTTGCAGGCTTACTCACGGTTCCTAGAGGTTCCAAAAGCAGAATGGGACAAAGATATTTCAGTTATCAGGCTCCTCTCTTGTAGAACCAACTTTCAGTTTCTGTCCGTAAAGCTGACGCATTCAGTGTCCAGTTTGACTGGGCTTAAGACTTTCCTTTTTGATAAATCCTATAGTTAGGGTTTGCTTGTTATGCTGTCTTAAACTTAGATTACTAGAGGACAAATTTACCTAATTTCTTTAAATGAATTGCTAAAATTGAATAGTTTTCATTTGATATTATTTCTCTCTTAACATGTGATTCTTGACCTGCCATTGTGTATCTGTTTCAAACCCAGCCAGTCGAAGCAGATGGCCTCTTGTCCTGAGCCTGGTTCTGCTAAAGGTTTCTTCCTCATGAGGGAGTTTTTCCTTTCCACTGTCGCCTTCATGCTTACTCAAGATGGAGTTAAACTCAAATCTGCTCCTCAGATAAATAGTGTTAACTTATTATTTTGTATATATGAATGTTTCTGTTCAGTGCCCTGAGACGACATCTGTTGGGACTTGGCGCTATAGAAATAAACTGAACTAAATTGAATTGATTTTTACTTTTATTTTGAAACGCCCAACCGGAAGCCGCGCTCCACACGCTCTCCACCTGGACAGACGAGGAGCTGAACATGAGATGGAAATGATGCGGCGCAGCGCTCACACTCACGCGCAGGAGGGGCTTCTTTAGATTTCGGCTCCCTCCATCCGTCCCCCCCCCCATGTCGGTGAGGCTCCTCCGTGACCAGCAGCCTCCTCTGGTCCTCCTGCAGCTCCACCATGAAGCTCCAGCTCACGGGCGAATGAGAGAAGTTTAACTCCGGCCACCTGAGAGGATACAGGCGCGGATAAATACACAACAACGGTAAGGGGTTACCCACTGTCTGGCTCTGTGTGTGTGTGTGTGTGTGTGTGTGTGTGTGTGTGTGTGTGTGTGTGTGTGTGTGTGTGTGTGTGTGTGGTGTGTGTGTGTGTGTGGGGGGGGGGGGGGCAGCTATTGGCAAACTCCTCTTATTTTCAAAAATAAATGAAATTTTAATCAAGTTAAACATTTTTATATATTTAGAGAGAGCCTTGTCTGCAGCACACTGATCTTAATCCCGGATTAGGATGAGAAACATTCATTATTGGAAACTTTGATGGGGCACGAAGCAGGGAGCCTCTTCCTCCATCCTGATGGAGGTGATCTGTCTGCTCCTTTAGCTCACCAGATCTCTGCTGCTGAGCTCGCATGCTCCAGGACTATTGGTCCAGATCAAGTATTGCAGGGAAACTTGGAACCAACTGATACATTTGTCTTAATCTGTAAAAGAACAAATGACAGATGAACAATCACCCTTATCCGCCAAGTGTCCCTTTCTCCTCCAACAAACTTGTGTGTCATGCATTGCATCTGTCCTCTGATTTCATTTTAGCTTGGACTGTCAGTCAGAAGCAGAGCTGCTGGTTACATAATGTCAGCCGAGGACCAGTCTATTGTGAGCTGAGGGGGAAAAACTTGAATTTCAACACAGATAAAGATGTGTTTGAGGGGGATGTGCATTTCTGCAGCTCCTCTAGGGTGACTTTATGGTTACTTCTTGGATTAATGCTCACCTTGCCCAGATGTTTTCCTTCTGCTTGGATGATGCAGATAATCCAAAAATAGGTCAGAGAGATGGATACTGCACAGAGCCTCTTAATGCACAGCAAGGCTCTGAAAATCGGTTTGTAGAGCGAAATGTTGCATTTAGTGTCCGGGGGTCACTTGAGATTATTTATACTCTGACATCCAACAATGTTCAGTCAGGTCATCTGGACAGTTGTTTTTTTATTTTTTTGCTGAGATGTTTCGTCCGTCATCCAAAGGACTTCTTTGATCTGAGGAGCCACCAAACAAAGCTGATTCCCCCAAACAGCGTACTCCATAGTGGGGGAAAAAAAAGTTTGCTGGTGCTAAAATGGCCTCCGGGGCCCACCCTCTCCCCCATCAACTCCACTAAGACAGTCATGCCAAAGTGGTTCAAAACACCAAAGTTCATGCGCAATAATCCAGGTATAAAATCCAACAATGGTCAGTCAGGTCATCTGGATGGTTTCTTTTTCTTGCTGAGATGTTTCATCCTTCATCCAAAGGACTTCTTCAAGGAGAGGGCGGGCCCCATTTTTTCCCACTATGGAGTATGCTGTTTGGGGGAATCAGTTTTGTTTGGTGGCTCCTCAGATTGAAGAAGTCTTTTGGATGACGGACAAAACGTCTCAGCAAATCAAAAAGAAACCATCCAGATGACCTGACTGAACATTGTTGGATTTTATACCTGGATTATTGAGCATGGACTTTGATGTTTTGAACCACTCTGACATTGTTTCAGATTGATGTGGTTTTTTTTGGAGAGGTGGGGTCAAGACGTCTGACAGGTATAATTCTCATTAACCTTATCAGTAAAGTGCAGTGTGGCGTTACAGAATCCATTAGACTGCAGAACTGGGCTTTGGATTAATTAACATGAATTTCTTTAATGACACATAAAACTGAGCTCAATAAGTCATGTGGGTCCTTTATTAATGTAAGCTTGAACAGATGGCGGAAAGAAAACTCTATGAAACACTTTCGGAGATTAAGAGCTGGTTTGATTTCAGAATACGATTTTTTCACGTTTAGAAATGACCTTCATATTCGAAGGCTTGTATAATTAAAACTATCGTCCTATAGCTAAGATTTGCCTTAAAATAATATCTTATTGTGTAGGATTTAATGACAGCTGGCCTTATATAACTGCTCTTGATGTCCTGCACCTTTATATTGTTATAAGATTAGGTGAAATCCGCACAAAGCTCTATATTTTGTGCTGCCTTCATCGTGTATTTTTCGCTCCAGTTCTTTTGCAGCATGCCTCCAGGAGTTTTGCACATCCAGGGATTGAATCTTTTGTTCATTCCTCTTTGTGAAAAAAGCTGAAGTTCAGACAGGTGGAATGAACTGTGTCTGAGGAGCAATTTTCATGTTTTGCCACAGATTCTTGAAAGCCTGGACTTCGGCTGGGTCATTCTAACATGAGCTTTGATGTAATGTTTCACTGCAGCCCTGCAGCTGAATGTTTCGGGTGGTTGTCTATCTGAAAGATGAACGTCCATTGCAAGTCTTCTGGAGCCACTGATTTAATTATTTACTTCATGATTGCCCTGTATTTAGCTTCATCCATCTTTCCTCTGACCAGCTTCCACACAGCATGATGCTGCCACCACCGTGTTTCAGTGGTGATGGTGTTTTCATGGTGATGCGCAGAGTGTTTGACATTTAGGTCAAAAAGTCCAGTTTTTGTCAGCTCTGAGCACCTTGTTAAACGTTTGCTGGGACTTTTATGGCTTTGTTCTTGCATAAAGGCCAAATTTGCAGAACGCTTGACTAAGAGTTTTCCTGTGGACAGATTCTCACACCAGAGTCGTGGATTTCTGCAGCTACTCCAGAGTTATCATGGGTGTCATATCTGCCTTTTGGGTTAATGCTCTCCTTGCCTGTCATTTTAGGTGGGCAGCCATGTCTTAGTAAGTTGTACTATTCTGTTTTGTGTGTTTGTTTGTTTGTTTTATGATAGATTGGACAGTTAAGTATTTAAAGTTTGGGATTAGAGATTAGATCAAATTAGATTGTAATTGGGATTAGAACATACTCCTGATTTAAACTCTGCAACCTGTCTGGTATTTTCCTTTGTCTTCATGATGCTGTTTGATCTCTGATGTTCTGTAACAAACCTATGAGGCCTTTACAGAGCAGCTGTATTTATATTAAGATAAAATTACAAATGAAACTCTATTACAGTAAATAGGTGACCTTTGATGACAATAGATTTGACTTCACAGTCGTGCTACTTGCTACTTCGTGTTGTCTGTAGGGGTGCACTGATTGCAGTTTTCTGGCTGATCACCGATCTCTAAAATGTCTGACCTGCCGATTCCGATTTTGGCCGATACCGATTTAGTTTTATAAGCAACACTGTCAGGTGTTATAACGTCACAATGCACCTTGAATTTTCCAATCTTATTTTATTGAAAAACATACCCTTGAACAATATCTTAGAAACAATGCAAACTTGTTTTAACTGGCCATGAGGTAGTGCTCTGAAATAGAAATGAAGTTTAGACAATTGTTGTTAAAACTACAAAAAAATTGGTAAAACCTGTTTCTCGTGCAAGTATCGGCCGATCTCCCAAAATTAGGTGCACCCCAGTTGTCTCATATAAAATTCCAGTGAAGTCCTTTAAAGTTTGCAGTTGCAACATGATAAAATGCAGAAATATTCAAGAGGTATGAAAAATATTTCGAATCACTATAATATAAGTACAGCTTACCAAACTAATAATATTCATAATCTTATAAGTACTTTTACTCAGAGCATGCATTTAGGGGAAAACAACTTTAATGATTTGAATACAAGTTCTTTCCCTCTGGCTCACAACTGCTGCTAAAAATATCTTTGAAGCTTACATGTTAAAAAAAAAAGTCATTATAGTTTCATCTCAACATAATATAGCTGGTAAAATAATACATCTGGATATAAAAATAAATTTGCTTAATATGACAAAATCACTTGTTCTGCAGTAATAATATGAAAATACTTGTTTGTACTGAGCTGCTGGAGGGCGCCACAGCAGCAGCTCTGCAGGAGCTCAGGGCTGCATCCTAATAATCTCAGTGGACTGCAGTGGGAGCTGTGAATAACACAAAGAGCTCAGTTACATAATTTCTCCAATTTTCAGCATAGTATGTGTACTGTAAGTGTGAGAACTTTAACTACTTCAGTGACAGTCTCAACTAAAGCTGTAAAAGATGTGATGCTGTCAGGTAATCAGACTGCCTAATTGAGCAGAATGTGTATCTTGAAATTCAGTGTTCGTGACTAGGCCTGTCGGGATAAACAATAAATCAATTATTTGCATGATGACTGAAAGTTATCAACCTCATTTTCATTTATCGGCTTTATCGTTTCTTCGTGTCTCTCTCTTTCTATTGAAGACACTGGATGACAAAAGGCTCAACTCCAGCGTTCTTCACTGACCCCTCCCTTTCTCTTTTCTCTTTAAAATCTGTTTTAACCGTCCAAAATCGCGTATTTGGATCGTTAAAAGCAGCTAAGCTGAGAAGCTAAGCTACGAGCTAAGCTAACAGGCTGACCTCGGGGAAAAAAACCTCCGTCTTGTCGAAGCTCCAGAATTCACGGTTGAAACCCGTGCCTTTGTGTAAAAAGTTGTTTTTATCTGCAAAAAGAAGCTGAGAACTTGTTTACTGATTTAAAAAAAAATTAAAAGCTTTGTGTGAAAAATGCTATGCTAAAGAGTTCAAATCACTGAGCGTCCGCCATGTCAGCCCATGTCAGCCCATGTCACGTCAAGGGCCCTCCCTCCCATTTTTATTAAAGAGACACGCTGCTCAACTCAACTAGCCATCCTTTGGTTCAAACAGTCTTATACTGACATCAGGTGGTCAAAAAAGGTACTACACTCCAAACAAATCAATATTTCTTCTAAAATTTTATTGTCTGTCCAAACAGGTCTCACTTGTAAATGAATCTTTGAGGCTCAGTGTGACTTATCTGTTTTAAATAAAGGTTTAATAATAAAAAAAAAAGTTAAATTTCAAACAAAATGATCATTTATCGCAATAATTTCTGAGACAATTAGTCGCTCAGCAAAATTTGTTCTTGTGCCAGGCCTATTTGTGACTCAATGAGACTAACCTGTATAAATAAAGGTTGAATGAATGTGTCAGTTCTGCATTTCCACTCAAAGTCCCAGAGCCTAAACTGAGGCTGAATTTTCCCACTGAAAGACAAAAGTATGCAGATGTGAATAAATTTGTTGGTACTGTTTCAGAAAACTAAACAAAAAAAAAAACCCCACAACCAATATGACTGACCAAAACATTCCTGTTTTGTCTCAGTCCTAGAAACTTCTCTCAGAAACTTTGGGGCGTGTCAATTTGCATTTTGACAAAATCTTGTCTACCTTTTTTGTGTTTTCTGCCAATAGTGGAGCCTTTCTTTGTCTTCTACCATAAGGCCCATTATGATTCAACATGTAATGATTGGCGATAATAAAGTTACATGTTTTGACCTTGCAGTTTAGCTTGAATTGTTTTAGATGGTTATGTTAAAAAAAGTTTCTTTTTCTTTTTATCTGCCTGCTCAACCTTGGATTGCATTTCCTCTTGCGTCCACATCCTAGGAGGTTGGCTACAGTCTCACCAAACGCTTCAGGTTCTTTCATGAAACAGTTCTGCAAAATTGGTGCAAAGACAGACAGTTTTTGCCCTCCCTCTGGCCATTCATACACCACAGACAGGGTCGACCACTTCCTGCACAGACGTGAGCTTTCAGAAATTAAGCAAGTGAAACGAAGCAAAACCAAAAGAGAAGTGGAGCAGAACTCAGCTGGGTTGATATGGAGCACGACACGTTGACTGTGTGTTGGATGGAGCGCTCATGTTCTTTACAAAACCTAATGAATTTCCTCACTTTAGCAATCATTTTTGTTGTAACTATTATTTAAATTAACTATAAAGGTGATGTGCGTCATCACTGATATTCCCTTTGTAATAAATATTTTTGTTGTTTAATCCCACAACCTTGTAGTCGCACGTTATTGTCATCAGTTTATCCCATTATTGAGCTTATACACTGCGACTTATTTGTTAGCCATTTTGCCTCTGTTACTACCTTGCTCCGCACCGCAGAGGCACATCAGAGGTGGGTTGGCTTCAACCTCCTTCACCACCCCAGTTGTTCAGAAGTCACACGAGGCATCCAGAAGGCGTTTCAGTCCCAGACAGACGTCTCTTGTTAAGGAGTTTCCAACCCACTTGTTAAGTGTAGCAGTAAATCTCCCCAAACTCTTTTAGCATATAACAACAAAGTCCATGCTCAATAATCCAGGTATACAATCCAACATTTTTCAGTCAGGTCATCTGGACAGTTTCTTTTTTTGTGCTGAAACGTTTCACCTTCGGTCCGGAAGGCTTCATCAGTCAAGGACACGCACAACAAAACTGATTCTTCCCCCAACAGTTTACTCCAAAGTGGAACAAACCAGTTCTGCTTGTGATAAGATGGTCTCTTTGGTACGCCCCCTCTTCCATTGCCGGCCCTCTTCCTTGTTGACAGTCTTGTCAAACTGGTTGAAAACAACAAAGTCCATGCTCAATAATCCATACAATCCGTGTTTTAGCATATCTTTGTCAACATAAATATTTTTCTACTTTTCTGTTAACTCTGTCACTTTTAACTGAATCGCTTTTCATGAGAAATGAAGCATTAATTCAGTGAGCTGTAGGAGTACAAACAAATGTATCCACTTCTGTAAAGCCAGAGAGGCCAAGCACTTCTCTGTAGTGGTAATTTTAATAAGTGAACTCATTTGGACAGAAGTAACTCATAATGTTCACTTCAGATTCTGTTGCTTATGATTTATGCGCCGACCTTTTGCTGCAGCTTTATTGTAAAAATGAGCTGCTGTGGAAACATGATGACTTGTCCATGTTGTGCTTAATAAGTACATGTTCAGCTGGAGGGCAGGGGCTGCTGGTACTTGAGGCACACAGCAGAGGGTTTGGCATTAAATTACCACTGCTGCCTGACACGTTTCAGTGTGTCTGACCTTGAAAGATCTTAACAAGCATGTGGTAAGAAACATGGTGGGGTTCATATTTTGTTTTTCTCTCTATAAAAATTGTGAAATGAGTTGGTAGATTGAATTTTTTTTTCCCCCCTCCCCTGCAGCCACAATGCTGTGAGCTTGTATGAGGCAGCCTGGGTGAACATGATGGAGGAGGCTGCCAGTCAACTGGAGAGAGACCATGTGCACAGTGTCTATGACAAGATCGCTCCGTATTTCAACGACAGCCGGTATAAAGCCTGGCCCAAAGTGCAGCAGTTCCTGCTGGACCTGCCGCCTGGGAGCCTCGTTGCTGATATTGGTGGGTTTCACGTTCACAAAAAAAAAAATCCACTGCTGATTATCCATGCTGCTGATCTCATGCTGCTGATCTCATGCTGCTGTATTCATTCATTCGTACTCATCCACCCACAAAGACTCATGTTCGTGCTGCTGTTGTTCGGTGTATTGTTTTGCACTATTAGTTGTATATCTTATCTCTTTTAGCGTACCGTTTGGCGTTCGTTTAGCACATACCTTAAAGATCCCTATTTACTGTTTCTTTTTGAAATTTATATTTTCTCTCTTGTTGGATGTAACTGGGACCCTGTGTACACAATTTCGTTCCACTTCATGTACCACTTGTGATGCGATGACAGTAAAGAACCTTGAACCTTGATGTGTGGTTCTCTGTTGCTTTCAAGCATAAAACTTTAACTGTTGCTGACTGTCTTGTCCTTGGCAGGCTGTGGCAATGGCAAGTATCTCCACATTAATAAGGACGTGTTCAAGCTGGGGTGCGATGTGTGTCGCCCCCTGGTGGACTTTGCCTGGAGCCAAGGGCACGAGGTGCAGATGTGCGACGGGCTGCACTTGCCTTACAGAGACCGCTGCTTCGATGCCGTGCTCTCTATTGCAGGTAATATGTATTCACATGCAGCTAAAGATGGTTGATGTTGACACTTGGTTCATCATCAGTTTACCACAGTTTGTGTAATAGGGTCAGAAAATAATAAATCCTTATTCCTTTATTCTGAAAAATGCATGTGTTCCTCGCAGTCATCCATCACTTTTCCACCAAAGAACGTCGCATTCGAGCAATAAAAGAGATGGCTCGTACTCTGCGGGTGGGCGGCCGCATTATGATCTACGTATGGGCCATGGAGCAGAAGCGGCGCAAATTTGAGAAACAGGACATCTTCGTTCCCTGGAACCCCAACCCTTATTTGCCCTCCGGCGTCAGCAGAGAGGATGTCAAATCCAGAAGACGAGCCACAGCGCAGAGTGTGAGCGAAGCCATAGCGACCTCTGAAAAGCACAGGAAGGTTAGAAGCACATCTTCTGTGGCAGATGAAGAAGATCTGCCCGGCTCTTTGCCGCAGAAGAGAACACAGAAACTGTGGTTCTTCTCCAGGTCTCTGGATTCCGTCTTTGACTTTGGGAGCTTGGCCATCGCCTGGCCGTCCACCAGAGACCTGAGATGTTTGTCTTCGCCTACAGGGGAAAACGAGGGGAACAAGCCCAACCTACGCGGGAGAGGACGAGGCCTCATCAAGCAAGTCTCGAGCTTCTTTTCCCCTCCGTCTGTGATCGGCTCAGAGGAGGACGTCTTTGACTCGGTCACAGAATTGCACAAAGAGCCTAATTATTCTGGAGGCACTGATAGCACTGTTAACAACAACGGCACTGAAAAACAAGACATCTCCATATCTTTAGCCCAGGAGTGCAGCTCTCTCGCTTTGCCTGATCTAATTTCTTTGCAGAAACCATCTGGGGATGAAAGAGATGAGAGGCCTCAGGGAGAAGAGCGGCCGGTGAGCACACTTAGTCCTCAGGGGGGTGAAGGGCAGGTGGAAGCCTCCTGCCTGAGGTACTATCACGTCTTTAAAGAGGGAGAACTGGCAGAGCTGATAGAGCGTAATGTTGAAGAGCTCCATGTAAAACACACCTACTTTGACCATTCCAACTGGTGCGTGGTGGCAGAGAAAATTCAATTGTGGAAAATATGATTTTACCTTATATTCTGCCAAAGTTTTTGCACTGAACCATACGTACAATGAAATACATTTTTTAATTAGGCGAAAGCTGTAGGAATCTGCACCTGCAGTCATTGATGAGGGCAGAGTTAACCCTGATTTAATCCACTGCTCCAGATCTAATTTTGTATGTGGTCTTAAACCTGTCGATCAGAACTTGCACTGTTTTAGATTAATTTGGTTTTTATGATAAAACGTGAGGACACTAAGAACCGTCATAATGTCTTGTGATTCAGTAAGCTTAATTGCTGCCATTGATTTGAACCATTTTAAATTGTGTGCACTAAATGAGATGATGATAGATGCTCTGTTTTATTTTTAAACCTATTAGCAGGACTAAAGCATAGATTTGCATCTGCTTTGAAATGCTTCAATTTTAGTTTTGTGTTAATGTCTATGTACCTTTTTTTATGAATGGGTGGTTCATAACTCTAAATACAAGGAGCCAAATGTGCAGCAGGCTCCTGTAGTCTTCTTTATTATTATTATTATGATTATTTTTGAAAACTGCTCATATGTAATTCCTCATCTGACACTTGGAAGAGCTCAAAGCTGTCTGGAGCATCTTGTAAAATGTTTTGTGCTTTACTTCAAAGTGTTTCAAAGTCCACAATGCCCATGTTGTGTGCTTGATGTTAATGTTTAAAGTAGCTGCATGGTGTTTTGTAACAAGATTAATATACTGGTAGTATCTCTCAGCAATTTAACTGCCTCATATACTGTGAGTAAACATTGCACTGTACAATAACTCATGTTGCTGCTTGATGTCAGCAAATGACATAAAAAAGGGGACACTTGAAACATATTGCTTATCTGTACCCATTGTGCCAAGAAGTGTGCATATTACGTTTTTTAATTAAGTATCTGTGGACCAACTGTGTTTGTTTTTAAGTGATACTGGTACCTTAATGTCTCATGATTTTAAAATGTTATCTTTTATTAAATATTTTTTTTTGTTTCTGGGTGTTGTTGCATTCACCGGCCACTTTATTAGGTCCGTCACAAATCCAGTCACATAGCATCATGTCAATGGAATTGGTCATTTGGACATGGCGAAGGCGACTTGCTGAAGTTCAATCCGAGCTTTAGGTTGAGGAAGACGGAAAATTTAGGTGACTTTAAACATACTTTTACTTTTAGCCAGACAGGCTGGTCAAAAGTATTACAGAAACTGTTCAATCTACTGGGATTTTTGTGCACAGCCATCTTTAGGGTTTACAGAGACTGGTATATATATATATATAAATATAAATTCATATATATATATAT